AGTGTAGACTTTCCTGTAACAGTATGAAGAATAACTGGTTGGAAAACAAGACACAAACTGAGAAAAATTCCATGGTATATTCGTAACAGATGTATGGATCCTGCCTTATATTCCATTCTTTGGGGAGAAAATAACCAAGGAAAAAGCTTTCATTTTTCTTACTGGTAGATTAAATTGGAGACAAATTAAGGTTCTTCCCTTTCCCCCCAGGGTGTGAATAGTTATGTTCTTGGTCTAACAGAGTTTTGAGTACCCAAGGCTTGGCAGACAGTGGCCATTCAGCGGTAGAGTGAAACCAGTGAAGCAGAATGCTCGGAGAGATTGACTTTTCTAATCAGGGGAGAATAAGCTCTTACCAAGGGTAAGCAGGCAGACTAAGGGCTTCAGTGACACACATTAAAAAGCCAGCTAAGAGAACTCAAAACTCAAACTGGAAGAAATTGTTAGGTAATCATGAATTATTATTAAGTAAACATTGTTACTAGGTAATTGATACGAGGTTATAAAAACTGCTAGAAAGTATGAGATGGACCAAGCTTTTGTCATTTTACATTTATTAATATCCTTCCTTTATATGAAATTTTCTAACATAAATAATTATATATATATATTTGCATGTGTATGCATATGTAACATAGAGTCAGATTTTACAAAATTTAACTCAACTTATTACAAATATACTGTAGAAGTAGTTTACAATTTGAGTATTTTATAAATAAGCAAAATTTTTAGAAAACTGACATCAAATTTATGATTTCTTACTTTCCAAATAAGGTAACTAAAACTATAATAGAAATATATTTCATTATCCATTTCTAAAATGAAAAGATAAATCAGGTAATCCAGATTAAAAAAACACTACCTTAAAGGCTAATCTTGTAAAGTAAGTAATGTCTCACTATGAAACTCAACTGTGTTTTCCTTGTGTTCCTTGTTCTCGCTTGGTTTGCCAATGCTAACTTGTGGACCAGCCTTTGGGGCTTTGGGAGTCACAGCTCTGGAGTCCGTTCTAGAAAAGGAACAGGCCGTGGAGTATAGGAACATTCTATGTAGCAGATTTATCATCCTTGAAACCCGCAGAGGGAAAAGGGCACATCATCCTAGTGTAACTCAGTGTTGTGGTGTGATAACACCATGGGTACCTGAGGGATTTATGTGAGATAGGAAAAACAGTTTTCTTGCTTTCAGATAAATGATGGCATCAATTAACAACAGGTCTACTATGGAGACTTAAAATGTGTATACAGAATGGTTTTTGTTAAAAGGTGCAGGAGAATAAACCAAAGGATTTTTCGGGTTGCCCAAATCTGATGTTACAGCACTGCTGATTCTTGGAATATTAAAATTTTTCTTGTAGGATATCATTTTGTTTAGCCTAACACAGGCTAATTGATGAATTCTAAAGATATTGCAGTCTACAATGGAAGTAGCGGCTAGCCAAATGCCAACAAAACTCACTTTTTAAAATTTTTTATTTGCAAAAAATATGATATAATATGTGCTAAGGGTTCCACTTTGTTTTACCAAAGGCTGTTAAAATGACTGACGCTTCCCAGCCTTCTATACAGGCAGGGAGCTTAATAAATGTTCAACATGTAATGAAGCGGCTCTGTACTCTGGGCTGCTTTTATTGCACTCTAGTTTGAATCTCCAAATTCTGGTCAATAATACGGATGTTTGCCTGTATCACATCAACCTTCAAACAGCATCTTATTCCTAGAAATTTACCCTGTTTTTGTTACTTTCCTTTTTGAAGTCAGTTAACCTGCCCTTATAAGAAAAATCACTGCTAAGTGCTTATTGATAATCCCTAAGAATGAGACTCCATTTCTGACTTATTTGGATTGGACGTTCTTTAAACTACTTGCCTGCTTTGTTTTAATGTGTGCTATCTAGACTAATAGAAATCAATCTAAAGGCAAACAAGTAATTTCACTGAATCTAAAATCATTTTAATTACCTGAAACTACCATGTAGCCTGGCAGCTCTAAAAGAAGTGAATAAAAAAGATCATCATGATAAATACTAAACAAAAACCCAAAATTGTGTTTAAATAATTTGTTTTCTTCGATGAATCACAAGGTTCATTGTTCGTGCTGTTTTCCAATGGCAATATTTGACAACATAAATATGATGAATGAGGCCAAAATACCGAATGGTCATTGCTTAGTAAATTATAAGATTAATCAATTTTGTAAAGAGCTTTGATCTCAATCTAAATAAAACTATGTTCAGGTTGATTAAAAATTCTATCACCATTGATAGGCCTTTTAGCATTTCAGCTTCTACTGTGTGTGCTAGGCACTGTGCTAAGTGGCAGAAAAACAATAGTGAACAGGTCAGATTTATTCAAGGAAGAAGTATTCTGAAGGTGAAAGAAACAGTAGGAAATTATTAATTAGCATGGAAAGTATTACAATAAAAGCAATTAGAATAGCAAGGAATCCCTTAGAAGGGACACTTGATCATCTGTGGTGGAAGAGAATCAGAGAAGTCTTTACAGAAGAACTGTCATCCGGTCTGACATCTGGAGGTTAAGCAGGAGTCAGACAGGCAAAGAAAGGGGAACAGGAGAAAGGACAATACAGGCAAAAGGCAAAGGCTGTAGGGGAAAGAGAGCATTGCGATTTGAGTATCTTTAGTAGTTTAGGGTGCCTAGCACTTAGAATAAAAAATAACAGAGATGAGGCTGAAGACACAAGGAGAAATCTACGAAGATTTTACATGATTTTATAAGATTTTATGTACAGGGTGACCATATACATTATCAGGTGAACCAAGACCATTTTGAGAGTTAAGGGGGCGCTAGCAGACAAGATCCTGGAGCTAAAATCATAAACGTAATTGTCTCAGGCAAACCGAGATACGTATTCACCTGACTTTATGAATAAGTTTAACTTGATTTTTATATAAATGAGAACTACTAGGGAGTTTTAATAAGAATAATGAATGGTATGATCAAAGTTAGGTTTTAACAAGATCACCTGACTGCATTGTGAAAAATGGATTGAAGGGAGGAGAACAGGAGGCTGGAGCAACTTAGGAGAGTCTTGCAAAAGTCTAATAATTATACCAAGAAGATACAGCATAGGGGAATTTGAGAGACTCTTTAAAAGTTATTACTGGCATAACTGATTGGACATGGAGAATAAGGGGGAGGAAAAAAATCAAAGATGTCACTTCAGATTTCTGACATTGATGACTAAGGAAATGGTAATATCATGCACCACCATGGGGCGGGAAAACCATCGCTTTAGATTTTATTAATTTTCATGTTGGGTTTGAGGACCCTCAGGAACACCCACATAGAACTATCAGGCAAATATACTGTAGTATGTGTTTGGAACCCAGAAGGGAGAGCAAGAGAAGTTAGAGACAGATGTTTTAGAGGTTTCAAAAGATTTTTTGGAAATTGAAACCATGGGACTGAATCAGTTTGCTTGTAGAAAATGTGAACAGTAAGGAAAGAGGAGAGGTCAGGACCAAATTGTAAGAAATACTAACTTTCAGCAGATAAGGAGGAGAGGAAGAAAAAGAGCCATAAATAAGCCTCAGATACCAGAGGAGGAGTGTTATAGGAAAGCATCAAAAGCTGCAGGAAGCATTAATATGAGGTGACTGTCTCTAGTGATCTTGTAAGAGCAAATGTAATGATATTGATGCAGAAATCAGAATGCAATTTCCAAAACACGTTGTCTTGTCTCATTCTGTTTCCCCTCTCTGTAACTCTTTCCACACTTTAACTCTTCACCTCACTAGTCTTTTTGGTTCAAGATAATCAGACCACATTGCTGCCTTATTGTTTTGTGCTTATCTTCATTGTATCTCTATTGTAATTTCATTGAAATAATAGTTTATTCATTAGTTTTCCCAATAGGCTGTGGGCCTCAGAAGACAACAAATGTTCATTATTATATTCCCAAGTCTTAGCATAGAACTTACCGTAGATCTGAGCTATTTAATAAATATTTATTGAATTAACCCAAAAGGAGACAACTATTCCTGAAGGTCTATGATTCAATGTGAAGTGGTAGGCCAGAAAAACATTGCTATAACATAAATAAGTAAAAACAAATTTCTAAATAACTACATCCATTTAACTATATCTGCTAATTAACTCATCTATCTTTAGTTCTTGTATTTCCTTTCCAGCTCTTGGAGCTTAATTGTCATAAGAGGGCTATTTCATTAAATGTGTATATTCAGAATTATAAGTGAAAAACACTTGCAAATTCAAATTTACTCAGTTTATTTCCTGGGCATCTGTTAGTACAGAGTAAGTTTTATTAAGATGTAATATTGTTTTGTTGCACTTAAAGAGATCTTCTAAGTGCTTATTTTTCAAAAGTTGTAATAATTAGATCTTATCAATTTTCATGCATGATAGACAGAGTATGATGTCATATTTATCAAAAAAGACAATGAAATGTGACTTAGATATTTATGGGGCAGTTATCTGTCAACAAAGTACAATTCAAATCTCATTTTGACTTTTGTCTGTGACATTATTATGACTAAATAGAGAATTAAATATATTTTCTCTGTGTGGTCTTGTAGTAAATCAAAGGTAGAAGTAAAAGAGCAAGAAGAAAAAATCTTGCAATTAAGTCCTAATCCTACTAGTCTCCAATAAAAGCAATTTTTAACCACGTTAGAAGACTAACAAGATATATTTTTAAAAACTTAAATACAAGGATGTTAGCAAAATTAATCTAACTTTAAAATAATAATTTAGATGCCAGACACATGGAAGTAAATAATAAATAAATAACTGAGAAATGGAAATTCTTCCATCCAATCCTCATTCTTCCTCTCTCCTTTCACAATATGTATTGTATCAAGAAATGAAATAAAATAGTTGAGTTAGTTTTGGGCAATATTTCCACTCTTGTGGGAAGAATGAAGTACATATGCAAGTCTGAGCTACAAAATATTAATTGTGTAATTCACATAAGTTATATGTACCTTAAGGATATTTTGTTTCTCACTTTTTGCACAAGGGAGCCCCATATTCTCATCCTGTGCCCAGCCCCACAAACTATGACCTACAAGAAGAGTATGGTGTCCAGAAAGTGAAGAAACTGCTTTCCAGATGGGGGAAAAGGTCTGTCAACTGTGCCAAATGCCGGTAAGAGTTGAGTGATATAAGGACTCAAAATTGATCATTTTTTTTTGGTATGGAGACTAATGAAGCTAATTCTATTAGCTTAGACAGCAAAGTATATGTGCATCATAATTTAACTTGAGTAAAAAATAAGGGGGGAGGTATTATACATTCACTTTTACCTAAAGATATTGGTTTTATTTATTCTAACTACATCTGAAGTACAAATAACATTTGTTCAGTGAAAAAACAATCACCCTAGAACTGAAATAATTTAAGAACTATAATTAAATTATACATTGTTTATGTCTTCTTTTGTGGCAGGTAAACATACTATTTTATTTTTCTTTCTCATTTTCTTCTTTTCTTTCTGTTTTGATTTTTCTCCTTTAAAGATGCCTGCACTAAAAGGATTGAATTATTAGCTCAAATCTGGTGCTAAAAATAATAGTTTGTCAAAGAAAAATCTGTATTTTCCTACTTTGTCTGCAACATGAAATATATACACATATAGGGAGAGAGAGATGAGGTACAATGATTTGCCCACCTCCGTGTTACCATACACACAAAAATAAAATTTTCTAGTTTAATCATATAATAGCTCATGTCAGCCACTAGATGGCAGATGTTACCATAGTCAAGAAATCCTCAACAGAAAACTGATTATAAGATCATTTAGAATAAGTTGCAGAGAAAAAAGTATTCTATTTATTCATCCTCTCCATCCTTCCTGGTCTTGAAGAATTCATTTTGGAGCCTGATTTCTGTGACAGTTTTCTTTGTTTAGAGATAGAAGGATTAAAACTTTCCCCTATAGATAAGATGGATAATTCTGAAAGTAATTCTGGAGTCTTACCAACTCCATAAAATATAAAGTAGAATCACAAAACTGGATAACAAATTGCATTCAAATGACTGTGAAGATGAATGGCAAAGTTGCACTGTAATGTTTTCAACCAAGACCAAATGGATCTCACATCTTACAAATAATGCATCTCATATCCTACAAGGAAGGAAATGACATACAGAACAAAGAGCAAAACTAATGTATTCACTTCTATGTTGTACTAGTTATGTTACATTTTTAAAATGTTGACATATTGTTTGTTCATTTGATCACAATGTTGGTTACTTATTCCTCATATGGCAACAAGTAAGCAACATCAGCTTGTAAAGTAGAAATCTTTTTACGTTTATAAATACCCTAAAGAACAAGAAACGTACTGATCTTCTACATTTTTTTAGAGACAGGGTCTCACTCTGTCACTCAGGCTGCAGTGCAGTGGCATAATCACAACTCACTGCAGCCTCTAACTCTTGAGTTCAAACAGTCTTCCCTCCTCAGCCTCTCAAGTAGCTGGGATTACAAGCATGATCTTTCTGAATAATAATTAAGAACATTCTTGCTGTTTGACAATTTTGTGAAAAGTTTATTAAAGTAGCTGTGGATATCTTGCAGTGTTTCATACCTGATAACTTTTTGTGTGGGAAGGTTGATAAAAATTAATTAAAATAATGGGAATGGATTGGCATGGAGAAATTTTGGAACTTAAAGAATCAGGGTCAGAAAATAAACCAGATTTCCTCCCTGAACTCTCCATCACTCCTGAGACACATGCCGAGACATGCTGTCTCCTCGGTTTTCCTTTTATCTTTCTACCTGCTCCTTCTCAGTCTGTTCCTCAGGGTCCTCTTCTGCCTGTTTCTTAAATTCTTTTCTTCTCAGCTTTTTTGCTTCGCACACTTCACTATTTCTGTATGCAGTCTTGAAGGATAATTTGATTCTTTCATGTACAGTGAATACAGTGGTCTCTCTTCAAATCCTAGGAGTTTATATGGCTATAGTTGGGCACTGGCATTAGACTGGCTGGGTTTGAATGCCAGTTCCACCATTTAATCGTTAGGTGACCTTGATAAATTACTTAACTCCATTGTCTTAGTTTACTATCCTGTAATTTGAGAATGTTAATAGTCCTGCTACCTTGTTGTTAGGTTAGAATAAAGCAATTTTCATAGTGTATTTACCACAGTATCTGGCAAAAAGTAAATACCTAATACATTATTACACGTAGGGCTCTTTCTTAGAAAATAGAGCCAGGCCTACCGGACGTCTCTACTCAGATGTCTTATAAAAACCAGAAGATAATATATTGAAATCTTTTAAATCAATACCTTATATACCTATCCCCAAATCAGTTCTCTTTCCTAAATTCCCTGCTCAAGTTAGGGACAATAGTATGTAATTTTGTCTCTCTCACCTCTCACGTTTATTTAGTCCCTACATGCTGTTGACTCTACCTGGCAAATATCAACTAGGTTTATTTTCTTCAGTAATTCCTGTTCCTTAAGATTGTTTAAATGTATTCATTAATTGAATGAACACATTGTCAACTGTAATGGTATCTGTAGACATATTAATGAAGAAGACAGTGAGGCCCTGCTCTCCCTGGATTTATAGACTACTGGAAAGAAGGCTGGCGTAAAATGGCAAAACTGCAAATAACTCTTGACTTAATTTGTCTCCTAAGCAATTCCTCACCTAGATTATGAACATTATTTTTCATTCTCTCTTCTTTCTACCATATCTGTCATAAATTGCCAGAATTTTCTCTTTAAAACCAAATCTAAATCTTAAAATACTATGCAAAATACTCTAACAGCTCAGTTCTAAAACAATAGGCATATGTTTCAAAACATATCTATTTAAGTTATTAAGTTATTCAAAGATTGCCTAATATTAGGAAATACATTGTTATAATTCATTAAAGAGCTAAAAAAGTATTTGATTATCCCCATTCATGTGGTAGGCACATTAGACAAAATGTAATGCCCATTCATGTTAAAAATAATCAGTAAAATTTCTTAGCATATTACAATATATTTACATAACCCCAAAAGCTTTGTAAACTTTAATGTTTAATATTTAACATTATAAAGCTTCTTCTTGAAAGGCAGGAACAAAGCAAAGATACCTACTATATCCACAACATTTAGCATATTGCAGGTACTAACTATATTACCAAACGAGGGCTGCCATAACAAAATGCCTTAGACTGAGTCCTTAAATGATGGAATTTATTTTCTCACAGTTCAGGATCCTGGAAGATCAAAGTGCCAGCAGGGTGGGTGTCTGGTAAAAGCTATCTATCCCCTCGGGTTGCAGGTGGCGACCATCTCATTGTATGTTTCCATGACCTCATTTTTGTGTACATGAGGAGAGAGAGAAGGGTGTGTGTGTCTGCGGTGGAGTGAAGGAGGAAGCTAGATAGCATATTTCTCTGGTGTCTCTTCTCATAAAGACACTAATTTTATTGGATTTGGGCTGCGCTCTTATGGCTTCATTAAATCTTAGTTACTTCCTTACTCCAAATAGAGCAACACTGAGGGTTAGGGCTTCAATATATAAATTTCAGAAGGACACAAACATTCAGTGGTACATTAACCAATGTAATAGCGTCCATTACACATAGTGTACATTGGTATACTAACCAATGTTACCATCTGACATGAAAAAGCAGATACTGCCATAAGATTGGGGAACAGAGGTAAAGCTTTATTAAAAGAACATGTGACTATATATCTAGAAAGCTCAAAATAACCCATGGGGAAATGTAATAAACAATAAGAGAATTCGATAAAATAACATGTCATAAAATGGCATATAAAATCAATAGCATATATAAGGATATATGTATATACATATATATAAACAAAAACAGTGAGAATATATAAATGAATAATAGATATCATTTGTGATAGAAAACAGGGAAAAGAGAAGAAAGCCCCTTGGCATGACCTTAATCAGAGGTGACTAATACTTAGAAGAGCAAAACTATAAAATGCTTTTGAAAGAAGAACTAGTCCCAAATAAATAAAAAGTAATGCCATAATCTTGGAGAAAGAGAAGAAAATTATCAAAGACTTTAGTTCCCCTAACTTACTTAATGCATTTAATTTGATCTTAGTTCAATGTCTCTAGGCTTTTTTCTAGGGGTAAAACAAGTTGATTATAAAGTTCATTAGGAATTTAAAAAGAAGAATAACTAGATAAACTCTAAAAAAGAAAAGCAATGTTTAGGACAAGAGCTGGAAGGAAAATCTATATCGGATTTTTTAAAAAAGTACTATAAAACCTTCATAACTTAAACAGCTTGATATTAGCACATGAATTGGCAGACAAAATGAAAAAGGTAGAAAGTTCAGAAAGAGATGCAATCACATGTGAGCACTGAGTATTCATTATAGGTAGCATCTCAAACTGCTGGATAGAAGATGGACGGTTAAACAAACATTGCTGAGATAACTGGACAGCCATATGGAGAAAGATAAAATTGGATCCATTTCTTACACCATCAGACAGGATAAATTCCCAATGGATCAGATATTTAAATCAAGGCTTTAAAAAGGAACTGTGCATGTATTTTTAAAAAGCAGTTATGAATTCTTCTACAGTCTGAAAATGGGGAAACATTCCTCAATATGATTCAAAATCTAGAAGAAACAAGAGAAAAAACATGTATTTTATTATATATTTAAAAAATTTTTTTCACGGGAAAAATATACCATAAGCAAAGCAAAAAATACAAATCGTAGAATGGGAACAAATATTTTGCAAACTATGCCAGAAAAGTTATACTAATACTTAATATATTCATAAAACATGAGAAGTTCAAAGATTGAGAAGAAAAAGGCCAAGAACTCTATAGTAAAAATGAATTGATCTGCAGAAAATTGATAATTTTACAAAAGGATTTTTCTTTTTTCTGAGATGGAGTCTTGTTCTGTCACCCAGGCTAGAGGGCAGTGGTGCAGTCTCCACTCACAAGTGCAACCTCTGCCTCCCAGGTTCAAGCAATTCTCCTGCCTCAGCCTCCCGAGTAGCTGGGATTGCAGGCACCTGCTACCGTACCCAGCTAATTTTTTTTTTTTTTGTATTTTTAGTAAAAATGGGGTTTCATCATGTTGGCCATGCTGGTTTTGAAATTCTGACCTCAAGTGATCCACCCACCTTGGATCTCTGTAAT